AGCATAAAAAATGCTAATTATCTGAAAAAAGATGAAATAAGCAAAAAGCACTTGAAACGTAGCTAAAAAGCAGAAAGAAGCTTAAATTACCAGAAGGAAGTGGAGAGAGCCCATTTATTGCTAGGATGAAAATTTTGAAATGAGTGCAAAAATCAGCAAAATAGTGGCTAAAATAGTAGAAAAAGCTGAAACTTGCAGAAATAAGCTGAAAGGAGCATAGCAAGCTGAAATTAAGAATTTAGAAGACATGAAAATGTTGTAGTTTGCAGAAAGAATCTGAAAGGACCACAAAACATCTGAAAAAACAGCTGAAATTAGCTGAACATTTAAAAAAAAAAAAAAGGTTTCAATTTGCACAAGGAAGCTGAACCAGAACAAAATGTGAAAATAGCAGTAAAAGGATGTAAACAGACCTAAAGATTTGAAGGATGTAAAATGAGATCAATTCATTTTCTATGAGGAAAAAAATGTCAGAAAAGGCTAAATACTTCAAAAAGTTAAAGTTGCACTGATCCCAAAAGTCATAGCAGGATTGTCTTGAAACAGCTGAACATTTTGATTTATGATTTGTTAAAATAGCTTGAAAACTGCTAGACGAGAAACACGCCGAAAAATGTACGGAAGAAAAATGGCTCACAATAGTGTGAAAGCTTCATGAGCATTCAATGTTTCGTTAAAGGTTTTGACTGATTTAATAAATATAAATATTGATTTTTCACATTTCGAAAGATTTCATAATCAAATGAACAGAACTCATGTCTGCATAAATCCTGTTCTTACATTAAATACATCCTGTCTACGGTACTCTACTTGATTATTGTGACCTCGAAACGTTCACGTGCAAAAACACTCAGACGGCTCTCTGATAGAACAGAACTGGCAGAGGACTTTAGGTCACAGGTCGTAACGAAGGGGGCCTCTTCTTGCTACACTTGAAAAATGGCAAAATTGTAGCTAAAACATAAACAAAGCAAAACTGTAACCACAAGCTAAAAAGAGCATAGAGGACAAAAACAGAGCAAGAAAGTGGATTTCAGGGAAAAATGCTTTCAAATACCAGTAAATTAAAGTGATTGAAATGTTTTTTTAATGGGGAAATTTAGTGTAAATAAAATTTGTGTAAAAAAAATAGTGTAAATAAATAAAAAGAATCAAAAAGTGTAAAAGTTACAACAACTTAAAGTCATATAACACAATTCTGATACTGACAAAATGAACATTTAGACATATGAGTTGTCAAAACAGCATTAAGTATGCAGGACCAGTTTGTGAAAAATGTACAGAAGAATTTATAAACAGTGTATGAAAGTTGAATCATCACTCATACAATTAACAAGTTTTGAATTTATACATTTAGAAGAGAAAACAAGATGGGAAATGTCATATTTTTACTGTTCTGAAGGACATTATGTTGCCTTCTATTTGAATTGTTCAATCTTTTAAAAAGCTCTGATCTGATTTAACAGCTGAATGATGCAAAACAAGGTGAGGTAGTTATGAAAAACTATTTTAAAATCATGATTTTAGTTTTAAGCAGCTAAAACAGCCTCAAGTCTGTGCCAGTTCAGCACACTTTTCCTGAAAAGGTTTCTCCAGTTTGTGTTGGTTGAAACGATCGCCAAGCTGGTTTCATGTAAAGTCATTTACAAGTCTTCCTAAAACATCTTTGTTTAACACGAACAGCTGAAGATTTCAGAAGAACGTAAAGAAAATTTAACATAAATGTTTCCTACAATTGTTGTGCAATTCACAGCTGGATTTTCACTGATGGAGATCCACTCTGAAGGTTTAATGAGGATAATGGACTAACAGCACCCCTTCAGTAATTAAACATGAGCACAATATCAGTGAATGAAGGGAGAAGTCACTTACACAGTCCACAAGTCATAAACGACTGTGATTTAGAGAGGAATTAATATCAGCACAAAACAGTTTAAACTAAGATTTCACAAAGTTATTGGTGTTTTAAATTCCTGTCCAAAACGTCATTTGTCAGAGCTGACAAACGCCACCCCAGGCTGTTTGTCTGAGGAGAACAGTGAAAGACTGGGTCACCATGGCAACAGAGCACGGAGGAAATCACTGCGAGTTTGACCTGACTTCACTACAATGAATCTCCTCCTTCGAGCCCCCACACGTTCAGAGTCCCGTCTGACTGGAAGAGTCTGCAGTTCCAGTAAGGAGCCGGGGCGTGCGTCACAGGTTTGGCGAACGACGAGGGCGAAGAAAAGACAAACTGTCCCGCAGAGTGACGTGAGCCCAAAAGAAGCTTTAATAAATCAACTCCTTTAATCCACGAATGAATCATCTCCTCTCTCCCCATCAACTCTGCCCTGAGAAACTGAACGCAAAGTGCTTTTAGGAGCACAAAGTTTGAGAAATAAACAGCAGAGGCTGGTTTATTTTAACTCGGAACATAAAACAACATTTTTTTTTTTTTTAATCCTTAAAAATCATCACGCAGCAACTTCTTTTGGAAATAAAAACAGCTTTTTTCATAAGTTCTTGTTCTAATTACTCAATGTTTGTCCTTCCAGACATTTTTATCACTGCTACATCTTCTATTAATAATTTAAAACAGACAGCTTCTTCACATGTAAGTGTGTATTTGAAATGATTAAAAGTCTCCATAAGTTTTTTAAATTTTAAAAGAGAAGTATGTCACTTTGCTAATTGTAGCTTTATGTTGTTGTCTTTTTTGTTCCAGAATCTTTCCCCACTTGAATTTATCTTAACTACAGTCAAAAATCATTTATATTGTATATTATATTGTATCGTTCTTGTTTTAGGCCTGCCTTTATCTTTTCATAATTATTTTCCCATGTCCTCTCTAACTGTGTCCATTTACCTCCTCATTGTCTTTTTCCTGGCAGCTGCATTTCTAACGTCCTTTGACCAATATACCCACTGGACATGTCCAAACCATCTCAGTCTGGACTCTCTAACTTTATCTCCCAGTTGTTCAACCTGTGCTGTACCTCTGATGATATCATTCCTAATCGTATCCATACTTGATATTTATAAGGAGAACCTCAACATCTTCATTTCTGCCACTTCCAGTTCTTTCTCCTGTCTTTTTGTCCATGTCACCGTCTCCAGACCATACAACATAGCTGGTCTCACAATTGTCTTTAAAACCCTTTATTTGACCTTTGCTGCCACTCTTTTGACAAAAATCACCTCTGAAACTTTTCTCCATCTCTTTTGCACCTCTTTACCACATTTCTCATTTTCCTGGACAGTGAACCCAAAGTCCTTGAAGTCCTCCACCTTTGTGACCTCTGCTCCTTGTAGCCTCACTGCTCCACCGGACTCCCTCCCATTCACATGTACTCATCACCACAGATCACAACGTCATCAAACATCATAGTCCACAGGAATTTTTACTTGAGCTCATCTGTTAGTCGGTCCATCACCAGAGCAAACAACAAGGGGCTCAGTGACGATCCTTGATGCACTCCCACCTCCACCTTGAAGCTATCTGTCACTGCAGCGCATTTCACCACTGTCCTGCTGTCCTCATACATGTCCTGTCTAACATTATCCTCTGCCCCTTCAGGTTTTCTCATGAAACGCCACAATTCCTCTCTCATTACCCTGTCATACAGTATTGTTATATCTACCATTATTTGTGCAAACTATGCAATGACATTAAAGCTTGCTCTGGCCTAATGTGTGAGAGGACGATGTTTCTGCTTCCCCCAAACTTATAACTTCTTTAAAAACTGTATAGATTCTTATTAATACTTGGGAATTTTGCTCAATGCACTTATCTCTTTTAAACCAAATATTGAAAACTTGATAAAGAAACTGAAATTAAAACTGGGTATCTTTTTCAGAAATAGATCTTCTGCCAGAAAACTCCTTGTAACCGATACTTTCCTATACAGGCCATTAACTATGGTGACATTATTTGCATGAATGCCCCTGCCAGCTTCTTGCAGATGTTGGATGCTGTCTACCATGGTGCGTTAAGATTAATACCTGGTTGTAACTACTGTACCAATCACTGCACCCTGTACTCCTTGGTCAGTTGGTCATCTTTATCTTCACATAGGCTCTCACACTGGTTCATTTTCATCTATAAATCCTTCCTTGGGCTGCTACCTTCTTATATCTCCTCTCACATGTTACTCCAGGGGTGTCAAACTCACTTACAAAAGGGAGCCAAAATTAAAACCTTTTTCAAACTAAGGGCCAATTTCAGAAACGACATTAACTCAAATCAGATACCCAACATCATTTCTTGGTCACGGGTTCCTCAGCAAAAGTTTGATTGGTCTCATTTGATGTTCTCTGTTGTGCTTTTGATATCATAATCAAAGATTACTAAAAAAAAAAAATCAAGAGATAGAAGTATTTTATGTTTCACATATCATCTTGAGGGCCAGATAAAATGTCAGCGAGGTCCACATTTGGCCCCTGGGCCTTGAGTTTGACACATTACGCCGTCAGTGCAGTTACAACATGCGCCCTCAGGCCTTCATTAATTGCATTGTTCCCTCAGTGCAGACTGGACATAGAAAAAAGGCTTTTTCTTACTCTGTAACCTGGAGTACTGGAACTGAAGTTGTCCACCTTGATTTCTTTAAGGGGTTTCAAACATTAATGATAATGATAATGTCAATAGAAAAGTCAACGCAAATATGTTCTTGTGTTTAATATTTCACCGTTTTACAGCACCTTGATTTGTTGTTTTATACAATACTCTTATTTTAACTGCATTTTTACTGTAGTTTATTGTTGTCATTGTTTACTGTTATTGTTGTCTGTACTTGATATGTTCTGGCTGGATCAGGTCCCTCTTGTAAATTAGTTCTCGTGGCTCAATGACATTAGCCTGCCCTGCCCTGTATAAATAAAGGTTGAATGAAAAAACTCCCCGTCGCTGGTTATTTCTGAGGCTGCGCTTTCCTCTAACACCAGCAGGGGGCGCCATAAAACCAAATGACACAATTTGACACTTTCCCCGTTGCGTCACCTTATCTACTTCCGGTTCGGGCTTCTTCCGACAAAACTCGTGACAAAATTGTAATTACCGGTAACCTTCGCCATCAAGTCTTTTGAGGGAACCAACACCAAGAACCGGCTGCTGGTTCGTTTGTGAATGTTAAGAAGATGGATCTTCGGCGGAAGCTGTAGTTAAATCAACCGCGGAGGACGAACCATGTGGAGAGTTCAAGGTTTATTTGGAAGAGGTGAGGCCATGACATTGTGTGGAGAGAAAGTCATTTAAAAAAAAATCAACCTGACTTTAAACTATGTTGTGTCTTTGTTAAATTCAGGTCTGAACGGTCTTAGGGTTATTGTGCCGTGCGTAGATGTTAGCTTAACTGCGCTTAGCTAAAGGGCACTTCCGTAGAGTGGACAAGCTGTCAGCAGGGAGGACTGTTTATTATGGTCCTGTCACTGAGCTGAGCCCTGACTTCCTGCTTCAATCTGTTTTGGTTGTTAAACGACCTTAGAAGGTCATGTGTGAGCCAGCTCTTATGTAAATGACTGACTCACGCTTTCATTACATTAAAACAATGCAAACCTGCACAAAGTAATCTAGGACACATTTGCACACCTGCTGGATTTCTGGCAATTTTAGTTATTAATATTCTTATTAGCTGTTGTAAAACTACTGTAGAAAAATGAGCTTTGTTGATAAAGTTGACAGTTCTGGGTGATCCCTAGGGTTAGTATTTGTGCCAGTTAGTTTTTAATTAAAACATACAAAGGTTTTCAGTAGGACTGTGTTGCTTACCGTGTATCATTAAAAGTGTTTTTGAGAGCTGCTCTTCTCTGCTGCGTTAAAAACATTTAAATAACAACCACAGACACTCGTCTGAATTATGTCAAATATATAAATACATTCAAAATAATAATCAGGTGTAAAATATTTATGCAACAAGTAAACAAAAATTTTAAAACATATATGTATATATAATTTTTTTTTTATTACAAGCACGTAGATGTTTAACAACCTGTTAAAATTAGGGGTGCTCCGATTGCAGTTTTCTGGCTGATCACGATCACCGATTTCTAAAAAGTCTGACCTGCCGATTCCAATTTAGTTTTATAAGCGACACTGTCAGGTGTTATAAAGTCACAATGCACCTTCAATTTTCCAGTCTTATTTTATTGAAAATCACACCCTTGAACAATATCCTAGAAACAACACAAACTTTTTTTTTTAACTGGCCATGAGGTAGTGCTCTGAAATATAAATGAAGTTCAGACAATTGTTGTTAAAACTAAAAAAATCAGTAAAATCGGTTTCTCATGCAAGTATCGTCCGATTTCCCAAAATTAAGAAAATCGGAGCCGATAAATTGGCCGGCCGATTTATCGGTGCACCCCTAGTTCAAATACACCACAATGCAGGAAATTGCATCTACTTATCGCTATTAAAGAACAGGTCTTAAGTATTTATATTACACAGATATTTCCATTGAATTAAAGACACAAATTGAAGAAAATTATCTAATAAACATGAGAGTTATAAGGTGATCCCTGAAACTTTTTGTCCCCTGTAAGAGGTCCCTGAACCCAAACAGTTTGAGAAACCCTGTTTACATAATTAAACTACAGCAGGTATTTAGTACATAGAACAACCAGCAGAACTGCGAGTATTCATGTGTCACGATAAGTTTTCAGTATTTGTTTGGATTCAAAGTTTTGAATTTTAGACTAAATTTTGTTGTTTTGAGGATTTCAACTGTCTCGGTATAAACTATACTGAGAGGATGAATATGACTAACTTGATATTACCTCCCCCCCCCCCCCCCCACACACACACTGTTGCCATCTCTCAGTTCTGCATCGATTTCATGGCAGCAACTCTTTACGATTGCCACCGAACCCCCATGTGGAGGACGAGGTCATCAGTAACTCTGCTGCTCTCACCTCGACTCGACACCCCGTTGACAACAGGTACTTTTAACTCCTATGTTCGTTTTTTTGTTTGTTTTTTTTTTCACTTTGCCAAGGTCTGAAGAAAGAGCGGATGAAAGAAATACACTTTGAACTTTTCTTTGTTATTCCTGAAGCTGCTGTCTATCTTTTGATTTGAAAAGCGAGCGTTCAGATGAAGGTTAACTCTCAGACAGGAACCTCCTCGCTGTCCTCGCTTGTTCTTTTACCCTCTCTTTGAACCCAATTTGTCCTTGCCTGATTTTCAGCTGCTTGCATCATCCAGCAGCATCTGCAGTGTGTGTGCGTGCGTGATGAACAGAAGCAAACCCATCTGGCTGTTCCTGACATTGCAGTTGACTAGAAATGTAAAAACGATGATTAATTTTTAGACTTCTTGGTGCTGTTTTTATTGCAGGTCTCAGGAGGATGATGGGGAGAGGAGGAACAAGCAGAGGACTTTTCAGTTTGGGTTTACTGAGCTTCCACATTACACAGCTCTGGATGCTGTGAGATGGGTAGGTTTTAGTTGTTGCATTTTCAAAATATGTAACCAAAGATTTATTCATCTTCATGTCCAGGATAATCTTTTAGATGTCATAAGATAATTACATTTTTTTCTTGCAGTTTATTTTTAACACAGTTGTCAAAGGCCTGACATTTAGGAACAACTTGGTAAACTCAACACTTAGGGCTGGGATGCACAATATTGGATTTATGACCAATATCCGATATGTTCAAACTTATTGGGCCGGTAACCGATAGCAATATTTTTTTATAATTTCCTTTGTCAGAACATAGCCCTCTTATTTAGACTTACTCACTACAAAAATTGTGTAACAGCTGTAAGAGCTGGTGACATATATTCAATAACAGCCTTATGATATGTATAGCACTTTGACTTATATTAAATGAAAAGTGTTAAATGTTATTTATTAGCATTAGTCACCTGCGATGCTGTCTCACCTGTGGAGGCTTGTTCCAGGTTCTTAGCTGCAGATCCTCTGCACTCCTGTGCATAAAGGACAGCCTTTTTAAGTTCAAAGTTTTTATCTATCCGTTGTGCCGTAAAACTAATCATGCTAACGGGGCTAACACGACGTCCAAATGTCTGTGGTAAAACTCACCCAAGTTGTGCTATCGGCTATTAGCTTCTCAATGACGTCAGAAATGATGGCTTGTAACTCGGGTAAGGCTACATCGGAAAAACATCTCTGAGTGGGGACGATGTAGCGAGGCTCAACGTAGTCCAGAAATCTTCAGAATCCGACATCCTCAACAAAAAACAAAACTTTCACACCACCGACATTTTGACTTCTTCCTCTCTGCCGTCATCAGATCAGGTAGGCGTGCGTGACGTCATCAGGTTGTGCTGCTGCTGCAGGCGTCCTTGTCACACAAAAACAGCGCCTTTTTATATCGGTGAGTTATTTTGATGGAGTGGCCGGTGTCCGATATTGAATTTTAACACAAATATCGATCGATACCATGCCGATAATGTTGTGCATCCCTACTAAATAGTTCAGCTTTTTATGACATCAACATTCAGAATTAACTGTGATCACAATAAACACCTTAAAACCTGACAGCTTGTGAGAGTCAAGAGTCGGGCCCAGCTGTTCTTTTCTGCAGGTTGTTATTTTACCCTAAAGCTACTTGATATATCAGTTTTATCCAGTTACTTCAAAGCCAGATTTCAATGCATGATGTGCGTTTTAAAAACACAAAGAATGTTAAATTCGCCCTTTTTAAATGCAAAGTGTTATTTGTACTAAAACCTCAGAGTTTTGTTCTCGCATTGTGGCACATTTGAACATTACTGATGTGAAGAGAGTCCTTCCAGGGAGTGACATGCGGGACTGTCTTGTGATAATTGTGTTTCTGTATCTCCACAGGGAGCGGTTGCGGTGCTGTTCATGCAGGTCTGCAGAAGGGTCCATTCCACGTTATCCTCGGGTTCTGAGCTGAATCCCAGTCCTGGAACCCTGACAGCACCCTTAGCTGTGCAGAAGTGTGGATTTCGGATCCTGCTGGAAATATGTAAGCCCTTCTGGTACCGTCACCCATCATGCACCAATAGGAACTGAACCACATTCATTTTATCAATTGAAACTCAAAGCAAATAATAGTTTTGCACAATTAGTGATTAGAATCTTGACACTGTTGTGTTGCTTCTGTGTGTTGTCTGCAGTATCGAGGCGTGATGTCCTGCCCAAAAGAAGAAACGTGTTGTGCCTGCAGACCGTGCCAAAGAGTCAGAACCAGGATCAGTCTCCATCTCAAAGCAGCTGCAGCAGCGAGCGTCTAACTTCTGACAGTTTCATCTCTGACCACCAGGGGGAGCTTTACTACGAAGAAGGTTTGTCTTGTGTCTCACTGTGCTCAAATACTTTTCAAAATATTGTCTTTTTTATTTTATTTTAACTCAGTATTTGCTGGAGTGTAACATATTTCATGTCCCACATAGAAGAATCCCCTTTTTTCGAGCCCTGTCCTCTGCAGAATGATGCCAACCCAAACACCACAGAGAAGAAAGATAAGGTGAAAGTGTGATTTATTTTTTTGTTTAAATTCTCCTCTTTTTTTTTATTTAAACCACATGCATACTGGACATAGTTTACATCTTTTTCTAATGTCATATTCTTGTCCACTCTTGTGGTTCTAGGAAGCATCAGAAGTAAGGTTGGCTGAAGCAGCTCTTCACCTCGGACATGTTGGAGACAGCAGCGTTCCTGTTATCCTTAACATCATAGGTAAGGATTTACCTGAGTATGTCACAGACACATTACAGTTTGCAGACCTTTATGCATTTTGTGCCATGATTTAATTATGTTTTTAGTGGTTTTAACCTGTTTTTTTTTTTCCCTCATGGTTATCCATCAGGTTTAGAAAGTGCCAAGAGTGAGAAATATGAGGAAGCTTTCAGCTGCTTTCTGGCTGCAGCTCAGCATGGCTACAGTAAGGCACAGTTTAACACAGGTGTGTGCTACGAGAACGGAAGAGGGGTCAGAAAGAACAAAACAAAGGTAACATTTTTAGAAGTTTTGTATATTAGATAACTTTGACTAACCTATATGTGAATATGATCTGCCGGTGACTGCAGGACAAGAATTTATATAAAAAGAAAGCATATTTTTATTTATTTATTTAATTTTTTGTACAAAATACATCTCATTCTGTTAAGATAGCATTAAGTTTAGTAAATGTAGTGGTTGTGCAAGTCATGAACACTTCCTTCTTTCCATGGTGTCAATAGCTACATTTTTTTTCTAAAAGTGATTCTGCATTTTTGGAAAATTAAATATTAATTCACTAAAGGTGAAACTACACCGGCATACGTCAGTTTAGGTTTTTATTTCCTTATTAGGAAACATTTAACAAGCTTCTCCCTATTTGGAGAAGTAAACATGAAATATTCTGAGCATTTAGTAGAGTCATCACTCCTTAAAATGCGTTACTTGGTTGGTTTGTAGGAGTTTTGGTTTCAGTCATCATCATCAAACCCATTGCTTTTATGTCTTTAAGTATAAAGAAGTTTGCAGAAACACTGTTAAGTCTGTACTTGTTACATAAGATCTTACCAGAAGACTGAGTTTATCTTTTCCTATGTTACGCTGAGTGATGGAAACTCAGAATCAGGTTTTGGAAGATCTCTGACACATTACTCTTTAAAAAAAAAAGGTTTCTGTGAACACTTGACCTTATATGAATGTACAAATAATGCTCAAAAGTTTTACTATTTGTTTTTAATGTTAATATTTCAATAGCCCCTTTATTTTCTCTCCAAGGCTCTGTATTACTACAGGCAGGCAGCAGCAGGTGGCCACAAACAAGCTCAGTATCGCTCTGCAAAGCTGCTTCTGACCAGCAGGGGGCAGCAGAGTGTGGAGGAGTTGAACACTGCTATTAACTTACTAGAAGAAGCTTCCAGAGCTGGCCTCACCAAGGTACAAAACATTATCCTTTAAATGTGCAAAGCTTTTCAGGACACCTTTTATATCTCTAGTGCATATTTATCCAAACTAATTAAAAATACTTGATCACTTCCTCATTACTTTTAAAAATACTTTTGTTATATTTCTTGTATAAACGTCGTTTGTGTATGTTCTTTTATAGAAATATGTATGTACTTTTTACAGTTAAAGAAGCACAGACAATAATTAAAAAAAACGAGGAGCCATTTTTTGTGCCTGATTGGACACTTCACTAAAACACAATGTTTGGTAATATAGCTAACGCCTTTGCTCTTCTTGTGCTAATCCTAGCATGTCAAAAGCCCCAACTTTCAACCACAGTTAAAAATTTTAAGTTAAATAAAAAGTAAGCAACAAAACAAACTGATTTTTTTTTTGTGTGTCCTCTTGGATTCTTGGATCAACCAATACTGGCTTATACGAAGAAGCTCCTAAATAAAACTATAGTATCTAATTAATTGTGCCAAGATGACTAAAACATCAACATAGCTTGCAAATAAAATATATTTTTTTGTCATTTAGGAGTGTTCAAATTGAAAACATTACACCTGGATTGGTTTGTTCTGTAAGCCCTTTACTCGTTTTTATTTCCCCCCTAAGAATCCATGGTTTTAATCTGACATATCGCTCTCTGGTTAAATTAAAACATTTTATTTCTCCTGTTCAGGCTCAGGTTTGCCTGGCTTCCTTGTACTCTCGAGATCCAAAACGATATGGCTGCAAGTCTGTGGAGTACCTGAGGATGGCAGCAGAGAGCGGAGTGAGTCCTCTTCCAGAGCTTTCTAAGACATTGATGTGTTTTCTCAGAAACGAGGCTATTTCAGGTGAATTTACCTTTTAGTCTTTGCAGAGACGGTTGAACACTCAATCACTGTGTGTGTTTGTTTGTTTGTTTGTGTGCTCAGGATGACACCGCCCTGTTCTTTTTGGGTCAGTGTTATGAAAGCGGCTTTGGTGTGCAGCAGAATTTGAGGACAGCTGTTGAGTTTTACAAAAAAGCAGCACAAGCGGGAAACAAGCGAGCAAAGAGCTTAGTGACACCTCCTGACACGTACAGTAAGGGTGAGGAAGTCCACGCACGCATTCTACTTCAGGTCTCTCTTGTAAATGAGTCCCGAGGCTCAGTGGGATTAACCCGTCTAAATAAAGGTTGAATGAATTGTGTGAACGCTTAACTCCGTTGTGATCCATCTTTCTTTCGTGCGTTGTTCGGCGTTTTTCTCGTTCTACAATTTTTGTGTTGTTTCAACAAATCATAAATCAAAATGCTCGGCTTGTTCAGGAGAAGGGTGCTACGACTTTTGGTATTGGTGCAACTTTTGCTTTTTGAAATATTTAGTCTTTTCAGCCATTTTTTCCTCATAGAAAATGAATTGAGCTCATTTTACATCCTTCACATCTTTAGATCTGTTCACAACCTTTTACTGCTCCTTCACATTTTGTTCTGGTTCAGCTTCTTTCAGCTGTGCAAATTTAAACATTTTTCAGCTTATTTCAGCTGTTTCTTCAGCTGTTTTGTGATCTTTTTAGATTCTTTCTGCTAACTACAACATTTTTGTGCTTTTTCTAACTTATTTCTGTTAATTTCAGCTAATTATTCTCCTTTCAACTTATTTCTGCAAGTTTCAGCATTTTCTGCTATTTCAGTTACCGTATGTACTATTTAGCTGTTTTTATGCAAATTTTAGCTTTTTTTGGCCAATTCCACATTTTTTGCACTCATTTCAACTTTTTTCAGCCTAATTCCGCAAAATTGTGCTCTCTCCACCTCCTTCTGATAATTTGAACTTCTTTCTGCTTTTTTAGCTACCGGTACTTTTCAGCAGTTTTTTTTTGTTTGTTTGTTTGTTTTTTGCTCATTTCAACTTTTTTCAGATAATATCCACTGCTTTGTGCTCATTTCCGCTTCTTCAAGCCTAATTGGGCAAACATCTTCTTTCTGCTTTTTTCTACTAATTTAAGCTTGTTCTGCCTTTTCAGCTGTAGCATTTTTTTTTAGAAAACTTTAGCTGTTTTCAGAAACATTCAAGGTTTTCATGTTAATTTCTGCTACTTTCAGCCTAATTAACTTCTTTATGCTAATTTCAGCTTTTTTCTGCTCTTGCAGCTAGTATTTAGCTCTTCTGATGCTAATTTTAGCTTTTTCAGCTAATTCCACTTTTTTTTTTAATAGCTCAGTTCAGTTTTTTCCACCCCCTTCTGGTAGTTTAAGCTTCTTTTTGCCTTTTCAGATACTTTTTGATTATTTCAGCTTTTTTTTTTTCTTTTCTTTTTTTTAGCTAATTTCAAAATTTTTGTGCTATTTCTGCTTATTTAAACCTAATTCAGCAAATATATATTCTTTCTGCTTTTTTCTGCTAATTTAGGCTTGTTCTTCCATTTTAGCTACATTTCAGAATGTTTATTTTAGCTAATTTCAGCTGTTTTTCAGCAAGTTCTTCTGCAATAAGCATTCACATTGCATTTTCGCAGGAAATGCAGTTTCTCTAGTTCCCTATAATTTGTTTATTTGTTATTTGAATGAGCAACCGTAATGTTTTAATTCTGTTTCCTGTCACTTTGTAACAGAAGACGCAGTGCTGCGCTCCATCCGTTCAGCTCCGTGCTTGTCTGTGGCAGAAACTCTCCTCCAGCAGCCACTTTCCTCTCTGGCCACTCACGCCTCATCATCCTCTGTCAGTCACCCTGCTACTCCTCTTCTTCCTCACTCCTGGAGCACCGGGAACTTGTCGTTCTCTACACCTCTTCACCTCCATCCACCCAGCACTGAGAGCGGACCCTGCCAGTGGACTGTAGGGATCGGATAAATCCAGTACGAGCTAAAGTACTTGTACAAGGAACGTATCTGAAAGAGTCAGTGTTGTTTTACTGAAAGGAGCAGGTCAGTTTGTTTAGTGTGTACATAATGTGAAGCCTGGAAAAGTGTCAATAGCTTTTATAAATGTAGGTGCCGACCAGAAATATTGTTTTTTTTTTATGTGTAAGAAAGAGGTTTAGCAAAAAGCCAAAGAGGGAGCTTTCAGTTTTTTTACTTTAAAGGTAGCATTATTTTATTTATCAGATCTTTGTTAGGTAGGAAAAATAAAATTTGTGCCTTTTATTGCATTTCTTGCCGTCAGCACAAGTTAAAAGAACTAAGAACCACCTTTACTGTTTTCTCATCTACCAGCTGTGATGCTATTTCAAATATACACAAATGTTTTCCGATAAAGTGCCGATTTCAGAATCACTACATGTTTTATTATCCAGCCTGTTAGCCAGACATGCTAATGTGGTATATGATGCATTGTGAGGAGGCTGTTACTGTTAAACGTGCATTTTTAAAAATGAATAAACCAACAACTCTCCTCGGTGTCTGTGATTTGTGTGGAAGCTCACTCAGACTAATGACTTCATCTGCTGGGCATGAAGTGGTGGAGGTTCCTTGCATTCTATATTTAATAAAAAGGTGCCAGTGTTGAAGCACTGAAGAGCCACTTTTTTACTGTTCGGTTTAAGTTTTTTGTCCAGTGTCTTATTTTACAGCCGTTAATTTTTTTTTTCATAAATCTGCAAGGAAAAAAATATTTTGGATATCACTGGGATTTTAGTGAAACATGAGAAAAGCCCTAAATCTTTCTAAATTGTAACAGGTTTGAGTTTACATGTCTGAACCAGCATTATACGTTGCAGTGTTTAGTCACACTTTAAGTTTTATGATATTTACACTCGTAGAATGCTGAGGTGACATCACACACTACCTTTTGAATAGTCAAAAACAATTTCACATCTTTTGCAAAATTCTTACAGAAAACATTAGTACATAATATGCAGCTTGTGCATCAAAACATTGGCATTTTTGTAGTTCCTTTAAAAATATTGTCTGAACTTTGCTTCATCGTCTCTTTTTTGTCTTAGATTTAGTTTTTAGCTACTGTTCTACTTTAGCTAGTCTTTTGCTATTTTTAGCTTCTAGCTAGCTAGTTTTATCTTACCCTTTGCTGTCCTTAGCTAGTGTTTTTTTTTTTTTTTGCTACTTTTCACTAGCCTCTTGCTGCCTTTATAGTCTCTAGCTGGAGTTTGACACTTTGTTTAGCCTTTTGATACTTTTAGTTAATCCTTTTCTACCTTAAGCTAGTTTTGTGCTACTCTTAACCAGACTTTTGATACTTTTACCTTCTAGACAACCATTTAATATTTTAGCTGGACTTTTGCTACTTATTATTTTTAGTTTGTTTTTTGCTAACCCGTTGCTGCCTTTAGCTACCCCTTTGCTTCTTTTAGCTAGTCATTTGCTGCCTTAAGCTTTATACTTTTAATTGCTAGCCTTTGCCACTTTTAGCTTCTAGATAGCCTTTTGATAATTTTAGCTAACCTTTTGCTTCTTTACCCTTTTGCTACTTTTAGGTTTTAGCTAACACTTTGCTACTTTTGGCCAGCATTTTGCAACTTTTAGCATGCCTTTAGCCACCTTTAGTTTCTAGATGAAGTTTTAACCTTTTAACTTTGCCTTCTTCTTTTATCTTTAGTGTTCTGCCTCTTAGCTTTAACAACTCAGTTTTAGCTTCTTTAACAAACATGGCAACATAATTCAGCACTGCACTGCGTTTTCACTGTAAATGTCACGTTTCATTTCAAAGATGAAACGTTCCTACATTTTTTTGTTTGTTTGTTTGTTTTTGTCCAGAAGACCAGACTTAACTTTTTTAGATTTAAATATAAATGTTTTTATAGAATCTGGTTCATCAGATTTAATTCAGTTCAGTTTATTCAGCGCCAAGTCTCAACAAAAGTCGTCTCAGCGCACAGAACAGAACTATTCATATATAAAATAAGTTAACAGAAACATTCATATATAAAAATAATAATTTAATATTATTTATCTGAGGAGCAGACTGCTTTGAGTAACTCATAGCAGAACTCTCATTAGCAGGACTTGGATTCCGGACACACAGAATCGGTCCTAAAGTGCAGGTGCAAATCCAGGCTGAGCTGAGCCAGGCTGAGTAAGGGCAGTGCAAAAGGGGCATTCGTGTCTCTGTCAGCCTCAAATAACTTCGGGGAGTGACAGACAAAGGTGTGGCGTTACCATGGTGACCCTAATGAGCTAGGGGTTTACCAATTCTTAAAGGAGCATTTTTTTTTTTATTACCCCAAAGTTGTTTTAGGAGCTGCTGCTTCCTTTGAAACTTCAGAGATTTTATTTTAATTTTAATTTTCAAACTGAACTTGGTGTAAATTGGACGCATCTTCCAGGTGATGTGTCTCTGTCTAAGAGGGCTGTGAGCTGCTTCCTGCATGATGTAAGAGCCCGGATGATGTGATTTCATTACCTGACTAACCGAACCACCGTCGGACTCGGACTGTCTGCGTGTCCTCCGTGCGCCGCTCTGATTGGCCGGCTGCCTCCGAGCTGCACAGCGCCGCGTCACTCCGGGATCATCTGGCGCAGAGAGAGCGCAGCGAGCACCGGGCGAGGGGCTCGGATCTGATCTGATCTGATGCGGGCGGGCTGGATCTTAAAAGCAGCTCCTGACTTGCGTCCTGAGTGTCGGGTCGTCGTGGGAAGGGAGGCGCAGATCGAGGCGGTGAGTGACTGGAAATGGATGCTCCTTCGGCGGGATGCGCTCCCCTCCCAGTGCGGCGGAGCTGAGGAAGGAGAGAGGGGCTGGATGAGAAACATTGACTGCGTCTGTCCTTAAATAGACGGATTAGCTCTTGGTTGTGACACCATCTCCACCTACCCTCGGCTTTGTGGGGTTAGATTTGACATGATGGAGCTGTTTCTGGGTGATGTCAGGGAGGATAGTTTTAATGAGGCTGCAAGAAGCGCGAGCTGCTCGAACACTCCACCCATGACATCATCGAGTTTCCCAAGTTCATTTTCCTCCACTGCTCGTGCTTTCATCTGTTGCATTTCCGCTTTTTTTTTTTTTTTTATTCTTGCAGAAGTGATGCAACTGTGAATGATGGAAAGGTTCACGCAGATATATTGTAACAACGTTATAAATAGTGTCAACAATAATCTGTAAAGCCTCTAAATGAAATTAAAACGGCTTTCAGGTGAGAAAGCATGCTTTGATGTCTTTATCACTGAGGATCCATTTCTGATTCTTTGCTCTAAAAATATAAGGAAGACTCTTTTTAAGCCTGTCTGCAGTCTCTCAAGAATATTTTTAATGTGCAAACGCAAGAGGCACCCAAGTCAAACAAGCAACAATAGACTGAGACGTGATGTTTCTGTTGCTCATGCAGCTGCTAAAATCTTGAGCACTTCCTGAATCACCTCCTGTTGTGATGCACAACAGATGCATTCAGGATGACTTTGCAGGCGGCAAAGGCATCCTGAATACAACCACCTCCTTTGTGTTGACTGTGTCCTGCTGTCTTGCAAACTGCTGTGTCATTCTCTTCACTTTCTCTTGCCAGTAATCACCCTTTCTCCTCCGCACACACCCCTGCATCCTCTCTCTGCCCCACTTTGCTGAAGTTAGGGGGAAGGCTCTGTGATCCATTTTGTCTGCAGCTCAGACACTATGGGGAGTTGAAAATGCTGTACATTTATCATTTTCTCCTGTATTTTATGCCAGGAAAACCTTTGATGAGACGGGTCACTTCAGTGCAGGCACTTGTTGACACTGTTTTTAGTCGCAGGCCTGAAGATGAGCACATATTCATCACTAACAGGTTGTTTTTTTTTGGCTCAGTGGGACAACAAAACACCCCCCGCCCCCCAGGCAGAGGAGAGCAGATAGAGGCCCTGCATGGAACAACAAGAACAAAGTGCACAATCCAGATTTTCTGCCTCTTGTCTTTTCCCAAGCTTTTAACCTGCTTTAAAATCTGCTGCGTTTGACTTTTCCATATCTCTGAGCAAAAAATGATGGCGACTGCAGCTTTCTTCGAGGCATACATGTTTGGGATCGGGTGACGGGATGTTTATCCATCATGGCTGCGTGTCTCTGGACTTGTTTTGCTACGAGCTTTCCACGGAGTCGTATAGACTAATTAGTTGTGATTTTATCCACGTCGTGTCTTAGGATCAGAACGATTTTCTGCCACTCTTTTCGCGACTACCTATCTGCCTGTATTCAGCATTTCAGAGCTGATCCACCCAGAGATGAAAGAGACACATCAAGCTAGTTAGCAGGAACAGGATGCCTCTCCTCCTCCACTTCAGCAGTGACGCCTCATTTGTAAATGGGGCGTGAGGCTAGAAAGGAACCTGCACCACCATGTATCAATAAATTCCCTTGCGGCTTGTTGAGTTGCACCAAAGAGATGGCTTAAGTTGTGAGAAAAGAGGGTGCAAAGCTGAATGAAACTATGTGGAAAGACTTTTTTTAAATTTAAGTCCTAGCATATCTTAGGGGAAAAAAAAGCAATATCAACTGCTTCTTTAAATGAGAATTTTAATTCAAGATGGCTACCACAGCCACACCTTTCAATTTGCATTAATTCTTGTAGTTTGTGTTGAGGATGACTCTACGCTACTACAACATGAATTTAAACCCATTTTCTGTCATTTTAAGTTCTTTACAGCCACGTTGAATAAGGTTGACCCCTAATGTCCATCAGTTGTAGATGTTTGTTCAATAATTGCTTTCTGAATGTGTCATTAAAATCTGTCCACTGGTTCATGAGTTATTTTGCTGAAGATACAAACAAACAACAGCACAGACACGAACAGAATCATTATCGGTACGCCTTTGCCTCGGCGGCAGGTGATAAATGTCCAATAAATTTAGTATCAAATGATAATTGTCGCATCTTTTCTCACTATGACTTCTCTTCTCCCATCAGCTACGTCCTTGAGGTGTTTTTCCAATCAGACACGATGTCAGTCCAAACTCCTCCCCTTTCACGCTCTGGCTCCACCCCCTCAACAGGGGGTCTTGCAAATCGTAGCAACCCCACAGTCACCCCTCCTACCTCCCTCAGTCTTCGCTCTTCATACAACCAGTTGCTCAGCTGCGATGTCATCAAGGAGTCCATGGAAACAGGAAGTTCAGCCACCTTACCAAAGAGTCGTCAGAGGTACGCCATGACCAGTGTACGGAGCGCCATGGGCATAAGTGACAACCTGACTTTGTCCTCTAAATACCAACCTGTAACCAGAGGTAGAGGCCTCCCAACCAAGTCCTCCTCCAGTTCTGCACTCTGCTCCTCATCTCTCTCGTCATCCTCCTCTAACAACCCCAAGCTTGCCAAGAATGGTGCCAACATGCAGAGACGGGCTGAAAGCCAGCAGCTAGAGCTGAGCAGGGCCAACACAGTGGACAGAATTCACAATGATCTCATTAATAACCCTGGCTCCGATTGGCTGGAGTTTGGGAAAGACAACTCACAGTTGCCTCCATTTCGTAGAAGGACCAAGAGCTTCTTAGACTACCACAGCAAGGGTTGGGATCTGGAACCCAGTTGGGAAAAGAAAGAGGACAAGGAGGAAGAGAAGCAGCAGCTGTCCTCAGAGAAGGAAGAGGGCAGCCCAGTTAAAGAGAGAGAGAGCCAAAAGGAGGAGAAGAGCATCAGCAAGCAGACCTGCAATGAGGGGAAGGAAGACGTGGAGCCTGTGGTGGAGGAGGAGGAAGAGGAAAATGAACCCACACCAACACCAAGACAACCCCTTCTACCAGTGGTGGTTGAAGCACCTCTTTCCTCCACTTCCTCCTCCTCTACCAACAGTCCAGAGTGGGTTCCTGACATCCACAGTCTCCTCCAAAGCCAAGCTCCAGTGCCCATCAAAGAGGAGATGTCTGTCCGAGTTCAGGCGAGTCCATGCAGCCCTGCAAAACCTGCTCGAAGCTCCCAGCCTCGAGTAATCAAAGTGGAGCTGCACCCCAACAACGAGAACCAGTTTTTGCAGCAGTTCCCACCATTTTCCCCCAAACAGATCAGAGCTGCTGAAAGAAACACTCCTACCAAAAACCGGGCACCCACTATCCAGCAAGCTCCTGAGCCAGAGACCGGCATCCCTAAAGTGGGATTAAGAATGGATCTGACTCCTGATACGCCTTCAGAGGGTGAAGACTCCAGCTGGACCACCCTGTCCCAGGAGACCCCCTCTCCTCAGACTCCACGGGAGACAGGTTTGATATGTCCTTTATCCGATGCGTCATCTGAAAGGTTTTGCATTTAATTGTTGCACCTGATTTCTTCCATACATACTGTCTGAACTGAAATTTTACAACAAAAATACTTTTTTTTTTGTGCGAATGACTACAGCAGTGCTGCTAGAACCTTTAAGGCCCCCTTGAGCAACTTTATGGTGCAGAGAGTGATTACGTTCGACAGAACAGGATACTGCAGAGAGCACGTTGTGAAAAAACTAAAGAAAAAAACATGGTGGGAGGTGTTTTTATGAATTTCTTCAGTACAAGATAGGAGTAAAATATATACACCTTGTTGCAAAGGAAACTTGTCCAGCTCTTTAGGCTGCTAAATTATACTGCACTCAACACACACAACAGAAAACCAAACACACAAATGCATGCACAAAAAATACACTGTTGGGGGTTCGATTCCACCATCAGTCACATGCCCAATTAAGTGTCCCTGTGCAAGACAACCCCTCATTGCCTCCGATGTGTGTCCCATTAGTGTATGAATGTGATAAAACATGATTATTCTTTGTATAGATCTAGTAAAGCGCTGTATGAATGGGTAAATGAGGACACAGGTTGTGTTGTAAAACACTTTGAGTATCTTGATAAGATAGAAAAGCGCTATACAAGTACAGTCCATTTACCACTGCACCTTGATGGCATAAGGAATTTGCAGATTGTCATCCTAAATCCTGAGGGCAACACATCACTCTTTGAGGATGGAACATGTGTTGTATCTTAATTCATAATTTTCTGTGCCTTTCAAATCTTTCACATTAAAAACTGAGTTTAGTGATGTTTTTTTTTTCTTTCCCACAATCTTTAAACCTGTTACCTTATAGTTAAAATTCTAAGCACTTATTTCGGAGCATTAACTAGACCATATACAATCAAGAAAAAAGAGAGGGATAAGGATAGCCTGTCTTTTATTGGGTCTTACTGCAGGGCATGAACCCAGAAGTTGCTATGACAACACAAACTAAATGGGAACACATCACTTAAATTTACCCTCTCAACACTTAATTGCGGGTGTGTTTCTTCGTGTCGCCATCATCAGTGTCTTTACAGAGCCCCTCTGGAGGTATTAAATGTGCACCTTCCATCAGCAGATGTATGGGATGAAGGGAACCTGCCCCCAGGCTGGAGGGAGATCTCAGACTCATCTGAAGTCTATTTCTGGCACGTTCCCACTGGCACAACACAGTATGACCGACCGGTCACCTCCGTAAACCAACAAACCCCTTCCATCAGTGAACCAGATCCTGAACCCGACCCACAGAAAGATACACAGGAGTCCCTGAAGCTACCAAACGAGGTGAGAGCACCTTCAGCTCCAACACACCTCAGGGTGAGCCACACTCAGCTTTTAAGCTCCCAATTTATTCTCAGTGTTGGATATAGAGTTTGTTGTGTTGAACTCATTATAAACTAGAGGCTTTTTTGATTGAACAGAAACATATAACATCACAAGGAAAGCAGAACCACAATCCTAAACGGTTAAAATTTGTATTTGCTGATATCGGGGTGTCAAACTCAAACAAAAGGGGGTCAACACTAAAAACTTGGTCCCAGCCGTGAGCCAGTTTTAGTCAATACATTACCTCAAATCAGATAACCAACATCTTTTCTTGGTTGAAGGTTCATCCCTTTTGATATTTTTTGTTGCTCTTTCCACAAAAACAACAAAGATTACTGAAATATATAACAATTTTTGGGGGCTTCAAAGTTATATGTCTTCATAAATCAGCACTAAATGAAGTATGCTCTGTAGTTTTTAGCTAAATGAGAAGCAGTACAATTATTTTACATTTAAAATATCATCTTGGGGGGTAGATAAGATGTTAACAAGAACCAGATTTGGCCCGTGGGCCTTGAGTTTGACATGATAGTATTTCTCATAGAGACATGTATTTATGTCTGCTGGAAAATAACGCCTCTGCTTCATATCTGAACGTTTAACGTTTCATGGACTGGAAATAGATATTATATGAGTAGCCGACAGTTTATAACTGTTTCCAAAAAAACTTTTTTTTAAGACAAACATGTTTTTTTATGGATTAAAGCCACTTGCATGGGAGGCGTGCCCTCATCCAAAGTTATCTTCATTTGTTTTTATCTCATTTCAAGCTTAACCATGTCTGGTGATGTTCTGTGGCTTTGCTCAGTGTGTGAACATCAGACTGAAGCTGTGTAGGGTTGATGGAATCACTAATGAGCCTCGTCTCCCCGGTCCCCTCACGTCTTTAATCCTGCATCCCTCAGTTCGTCCTTTTATCTTCAGCTGTCGCTTTTTTCCTCTCACAGCGACCCAGCAGTCTGATATCTGACAGCTCAGTGGAACCAGTCCCCTCACCCTCTGGTTCCTCACCCTCCTCTTCATCCTCCTCTCCCTCCAAAGTCGTCCCTTCTCCTGGTCAAGTTTTCAGCACCTCCACACGCACAGCCAAAGTATGTTACACTTATCTGGGTGCTCACATGTTAAAATCTTAAAGATTTGTGTTTTTAAAATGAGATTTATTTAGTTCCAATATTTCTAGGCTCAATGTTTTTCTAAACTTTAAATGAGTCGGATGTTATTGACTACAATTGTTATTTTTCTTCTGAATATTTGTCCACCAGGAGCTGAAGGATTATCCAGTCTATCCAGATCCCAGTCTTAAAGCGTTTGAAGGAGCTACCCTTCGATACGCCTCTCTGAAGCTCAAGTAAGAGTCAAGTTCTGATTTACTTGTGTAATAATTGGGGTTTTCAAAGTTTTCACCAAATTTAAAGAGCATTAACCAAGACGTGATTTTTTTTGTTTGTTTTTAGAAAAAATGTTTGACTTTATTTTAATAATTTTTTTACGGCTTGTGTTTTTCTGCAGCCCACCAGCTCAGCTAGAGACAGTGGACCTTAACAGCACCTTTTCTGACTCAGAGGCAATGGTAAACACACAATTTACATAAATGTCACCAAACAACAAGAGAAATGTCAAACTGCTGCTCATTTCAAGTTTTATACGAAAGATATGTTTGGACAGGGAAAATTACAAAAAAAAGTTAAATAAAATAAATAAAAGGCCAGTTGAAATGCCTTATAACTGATTAAAGGAATTAGCAGCTTTTTACTACAATGTTGGGTATTAACAGATCGCCCCAGAGAAACTGAGTCTTTCAGAGAAAAACACACACAGGAGGGGTCACCACTCGGAATGACTGTTAGCTAAATCTTTGGGGGTCTCAAGCAGGCGTGCACTGATGTTGTTCAGTTAATGCAACACGTTCAGAACTCTGTGAAAACCAGTCATTAAGCATAGTTAATAGTTTTATCGACACATACAGATATACTGTAATATAGGAAGGAAACCCTTGTGAACTCTTTCCAACAAGGTTTGTTCCATGGAAATTAGATAATTTTAATTAAATTAAAGGCTGAAGTTAAGTTGAAAATTATGTCGTAGTTTGATGGAATAAAAAATATAAACTGTTAACTGAAGCTGAAATCCAGCTCGTTACCAAAAGCCAACATCAGTGATTACATGTAAAGTAAATTTCTCATGAACTTCATAAAGTCGTTATCAAAAGTACATCATCTTTCTTCTTCTTTATTCAGCTTTTCTCTCTTCACAGTGAGTCATCCTCCTCCATCTCTGTCCTCTGCATCCTCTGTCCTCACTCCAACTACCTCCATGTCCTCTCTAACTGCATCCATATATCTCCTCTTTGTCTTTTTCCTGGCAGCTACATTTTTAACATCCTTCTACCAGTATACCCACTGTCCCTCCTCTGGACATGTCCAAACCATCTCAGTCTGGTCTCTCTAACTTTTATCTCCCAGTTGTTCAACCTGTGCTGTACCTCTGATGATCTCATTCCTGATCTTATCCATCCTTGTCAACCTGAACGTTTTCAGTTCTGCCACTTCCACTTCTGTCCTGGAAGTTGCACAACTCCAATTAATTAACTTTCGATGTTAACACGATTCAAGATGGGTACCACAGCTAATCAAACACAAAACTGGCAATAATTTAGTCTAATTTACAGGAAGTGAGCTAAAGTTTGATGTGGTAGTAGCTGAGAGCTGTTTTCAACTTTGGCATTCAAGGCAGCAGACGTTATGTATTCCTTGAAGGAACACTGATTTCATTTTAAGAAAAATACTCAAGAGAGGGCACGTTGCAAGTATCACATCATGTTTTCTTGGTAAAATAGTCTGCAGGCTGAACATACTGTGTTTATTGCAGTCCAACAAAGTAATGATGCTCCTTTTGAAGATCTTGTCTGCTTTATTCTAATCGAGCAGAGACCAGTTGTTATTGTGTGGTGATTACTTAATTCACACAAGCCCTTTTTTGTTGAAATAAATTTATTAAAGTATCCCTAGATCTTACAGTCTAGAAACGGCAATATGAACATTCTTCTTAAACTTGCAGCACCATTTAGAATCATAGTTTAGGTATCAGACTGCATTTATGCAAACTTATTTATATTCTGAGTAACACAGCATACAACATGTAAATAACAATGTGACCAAATGTGTGATATTTGTTGAACCAATCATAAGTCTTTCAGGAAACCTTCTGTTTAGTAATGAGAGGAAACACCAGATATTATTTGTCGTGACGTAATTTTTCTCGTCTCTCCTGATGATCTTTTTTTGGTTTTGTTTGTTTTGCTGCAGTGCCTCCTAGTGGCAACTCTTATGAACTGAATTATGAGGAGTCTGTAGTCCATGTAGCTGCCATCCTGCAGAAGAATACCACAAATACAGGCTAAACCTGCACAGAGGAAGGATGATTTAATGATGCATAAGATAAATGAGTGAATGGAAAGAAAAGCTGCATGCAGTAAGATAACAGTAAAGGAAGTAGACATTTTGCAGAGAGGAATGCAATAAATGCTGAATATAGGAGACGTGGAGCATAGGAGTACACCTGACTCACCTGTGCAGTACACATAAATAAATAAGTAAAACTGTGCCAAATATTTAAACTCAAAATCAAAAGTATGGGTTTATTGGACTTTGTATTTTATTTTCCTCAAAAAATAATGAGCCAGCAAACAATTTAATTTCAAAACAGTGAAACAAATTCTTGAGATTATCAGATGGCTTCAAAAAGGAGACGTTAAAAATGTTGGAGTGTAAAAAGGTTTGAAAAGTTAAAAAATAGTAATAATCCAATAAAGTTAAGCCCAAATAAACCGTCCAGAGGATCTGACTTAACTTTGTTGGATTTTTTTTTTTACCTGGATTATTGTGATCAACCGTATGAAACGCAGCGCTGAGCTCGACCAGGTGCAGACACAAGTCCATTGTCTGAATTGAAGTGAATTATTAAGCATGAACTTTGAAAAAAATATAATAATTTGATCAGTGGAGGGGGGGGGGGGGGGG